CTGCTGCTGCTGCTGCTCCTACTACTACTACTGCTGCTGCTGCTACTACTACTACTACTACTGCTGCTGCTGCTGCTACTACTGCTGCTACTATACTGGTACTACTAGTACTGCTGCTGCTGCTGCTCCTACTACTACTACTGCTGCTGCTACTACTACTACTACTGCTACTGCTACTGCTACTACTACTACTACTACTACTACTACTACTACTGCTGCTGCTGCTGCTGCTGCTGGTACCACTGCTGCTACTGCTGCAGGAGGTGGTGGTGCTGGTCAGGGCCGTATCCAGGGGGGGTTATTTGGTTTCTGTAACCCCCCTTGGTTAGTAAAAAAAAAGTACTAGTTTAAACCTAGTAAGATGTTTGGACCTACAGTTGTTTACTCGGGTCTTACTCGGTTACATTGGGATCTATAGAAATAAGATGGGGGGAACGGGTGTTCTCGGGACGCGGGATTGGCCATTTTAATTACCTGGGAACTGGAAAATGCCAGATAAATTTTCCGTGATTCGGGAACAGAAGTCCATCGGGACGTGGGAAAGACCCTGTAAAATTGTCTGGGATCTGGAAAAATTGTGTCAATTCGTTGGGATTTTTATTTCTGCGCTAATATTGATTTAATTTATTAATATTTTTTAATTTTTTATTAATTATGCCCAGATGAATAATGGTATGTAAATATTAGTATTTATGTAGTGTTTGAAAACCTAAACTACTGAATTTCCTGAAACATGTCTACATAATTTCTTGGGAACTGGGGATTGGGTTTCATTTTACTGGGAAGTGGGATATGGGGTGTTTTTTGCTGGGAAAGTGGGAATGTACCCCCCCCCCGTCCCCCCTCAAATAAATGTATTGTGAGACTAAGTGGGTATAACAGGTGTCAACTAGTCAAATTGAATGGGTAAAAGTTCATTTTTAGCTCATCTAACCACGAAGTCAGATGCAGCTTGTAGGCTCGCGTGATTGTCCGTGCGTCCGTGCGGCCGTCCGTCCGTGCGTCCGTCAACAGTTCGCCACAAATCTGAACCGCTCGACGTACGGTGACGATATTCGGGACGTGGGGGGATCATGAAAAGGACTCGGAATGATCAATTTGGGGGGCAGGGGTCAAAGGTCAAGATGTGTAAACGGAGGGGGAATATTTCCCCCTTAACTTAAGGTATAGGAGGAAATACGGAATTGCGGTACAAATCTGAACGGCTCGACCAATGCTCTTAATATTCGGTGTAAAGTGTGAGGGGCAGGAAACCCATCACCAGTGCGAAATTGGAGGTCACAGGTCAAAGGGCAGTGGGGGAAAGGTCAGATATCAGACATTTTCTGAGGACATGGCCTAACGGACAGAGCGAAAAGCTTTTTTGTTTCAGCACTGACCTACCATTTTTATCACTTTATTGAAAGCACCATGAAATGTGCTTTCCACTGACGTGCGAAGAGTAAGTGTCTGATAACTTTTTGACCCTTAAGAGGAGAGTTAAACATGGATTTGTTGACTGTTGACATAAGACTGAACTGATTTTGCTATTATTAGAGCCCATACCTGTGTGGATGTGAGGCTACATTTGCAGTTCAATTGGAAAGACAAAAGTTTGTTGAACAAGGTTTACACTCCTTAAATCATATTATTTTCTAAAGCAGTCTGTACACTCCCTGAATGCTCGCGTGAGTACCGTCATCCGAAATGTAGGCAAAAATCCGGGGGCATCTCATTACTCATGCATGGTGAACTGCCACTTTTTGAATAAACATGCACACCTGCAATGCAGATGTGTTTAATTTAATACTCACAGCTGAGCGAAATTGTCGCCTGCCTGAATATACTTGGATTTTTGCCTGTAAATTTCAGCAACTCAATGGAATTAGGTTATCAGTTATCTGTACTTTCTTGACTTATGAACAATGCACAAAGGGCGATGCTATCTTTGATTATTGATTACGCTTGCACGTGCCATCTCGAGGCAACTATAGGCCTATAGTGATACATTATGACACGAATATATAAGACAGTCGAGCAGGTATTAAGTAGGATGCATTGTTAGGGTTTAGTTTTAGTGTTAATACCTATGCTACACAGTTTTGATAATGAAGTAGCCGGTTTAGCGATAGAACAGCCTTTCAACCATTTGCAGAAACGAAGGCCAGTACAGTAGAGCAGCAGACCTCAGATGAGCACTGTCGCTAATGCGGCACTTGTTTGTGTAACCATTAAAATGTAATTATAACCTTTTTGAAGATAAAGACTCATTGATGGTTTTTGAACTACTGAAACACTCTACTACTGTAACAGTTTTGGTTAACACTATAATTTCAAAGAGTCGCAGATCATCCTCCTAGTATCTAGATTGGATGGATCACACCACGGAGATAATTAGTCATACTTCCCAACACTAGAGACGAGTTTGTTACAAATCTCATTTTATTTGATTGATGTTATGGTGATATACACTGTCTTTTGTATGAATTCAACAAACAATTGAAGTGGAAACAGGAAATAGCATCTAAGCATGTTAAAAAAAAAACGTCACGCTTAGCGGCTCGGGGCGAAGCTTCGCATCGCCATTTTGTAACCCCCCTGTGTCCAACTTCTGGATACGCCCCTGCTGGTGGTGGTGCTGCTGCTACTGGTGGTGGTGGTAGTGGTGCTACTGCTGCTGGCGGTGATGGTGCTGCTGTTGGTGCTACTAAGACTGAGAGTGCACGTAATTAGATAGAGGGCGCGCGTGCTGCGCTATAGCTTACTATTCGTCCCATAGAAATAGATAGACAACTAGAAAGGACATGCGCAGCGCGAGATGTGCGCGCGCCAAACATGGCGGCATGTGTGGCACCATCCTACTGCACACTATACATACATGTATAGGGATAGT